CAAGTGACACCGAGAATATGAATCATCCAGCAACATAAATTGCTATAAAATTATGCTTATCCGCTATACTGTTAAATGTGAAATGTGAATAGCATTGTTGACGTCTTATTGAAAACATAGTCACGAAAAGAATTTAAAAATGTATTCCATTTGAGTATGCTTGCATTATTTTTTTTTCAGCTTTCCGGTTGGAAGTAAACAAGCTCAAACATTGTTTATTGTAATAAATGCTATAAAAGCTTTTGCGGTGTCACGCTAATAATTCGCCTCTTGGGAAACAATGTGACACAAATTGCAGTATTAAATTATTTCAATCGTCGTTGTATTTACAAAGCAGTCGGGCATGTTTGTTACGTAACTGAAGAATAGTGTTTACCCTGTGTGGTCTTTGCCTGTACCGCCTCTAGTAATGAGCTAGCCGATTCTAGCTAGCCCTCCCTCCCTCTGCCAGTAGACACCAGCTATCACCCCACCATAACCGTACATCCGGTGTCCATCGAAGCTGCGTCTGTTTCCGCCTGTCCTCGCCGACTTTCCCGCCCACCCTCGCCGCCGCCCCTCGCCTGTGCCCTGCAAACCCCTCGACTTCGATCCGCTGAACGTCTTGGAATCGGCGATAACCGCGCCGCCGTCTTTACGCGTCTCTCCCCCCCTCCACCGGACCGTAGGTCGCCATTTTTTAATTTTTTTTTTCTTCCTTGAACTTCGACTTGGCGTTATCGCGAACGCTTCTTGGCGAGTGACTTGTTGACTACAAAGTGAGTAAGGCCGACGAAAGATCTTCAGTACGGACGCTAGAACATATTCAGATATCGAGCAGACACTTTTATGAACAAAATATGAAACTTGATAAGATAGGATAAGATCTCTTTTTTCCTGCGATGAAGTGTTTGATGTATACTCCAGTAGGAGATATTATGTTGTGAATATGTATTTTATTTAAGATATTTTCAAGTGCTGTAGGTTTAGTTCGTGGTATCGGAATTAGTTATGAAACTCTTCGAGAAGTTTGCAGCTGAATATTGTTTAAAATTAAATCTTAGATAATATGTGTGTGTTTTTTTGTAGGATAGAGCACCATATTTAAATGTCATGTAACCGTCCTGTCACATTTTTTTAGCGTTTATTCTCGGAAACGTTCCCTAGACGTAAAGAGTACCAAGTTGTGACCTAGATACTGAGTAAAAAAATGTATTTTAATAATTCGTTGAACAAATTTAATTACCAGTTTTAAACATTGTTTTTGGGCCGTAATTGTGCGTTAAATATAAAATGTTGTTTACGAAGACAGAAAAAACAAAAAAAAGTTGAACAATGAAATTTCATGAATGATTAGTCTTGCAGTGCTAAATGGCAGACCACATACAATTGTAAATTAGTTCAATTTCTGAATTTCAAATTATTCATTGTTTAGAGATTATACGACAACTGGTGTATTATTAGCTGGAAAAAATAATTGCTAATATATATTTTAATGATGAAGAAGGGTAGTGGATGATATAAAATATTGCACAAACTTGTAGTGGCTTCTGCATAGTATTGAGTTCCCTTGAACATTGACGCACACATTTCATTGCATTGTTTAAAATTTTATTGACGTGAAATACTACGCACACATTCCAAAAAAGGTTTCTTCATTACAGACGTTTTGCTTAGGCATTAAAATTAGTTTATGATGCATTTCATGGCATTGACGTATTACTAGTTTCAAGAGATGGATATTTGCCCCAAGAGCAGTTCATCTTCACATGTTTCGTGTTTTGCAATATTACATGATAATTATTTTCGGAGATTAATTTCGCAATTCTTAGTTGCACATCAAATTAATTATATATATTTTTTCGTTTTGTTCTTTCTGTGAATTACCAATGTAGTACTCATTTTTCCATCATTCTACATTAGAGCTTGTTTGTGTGCTATATTCATATTTTTAAAATATATATTTTAACATTGAAACTTTTTTTATTCCCAAAATTTGCGTTACATAAAGGAAGTTGCTCCAACTCCACACTTCGATTCTGTATGTTTGGGAAAGGGGAGTAAAGGTCGAACCACTCCACATATCTAATGTTTAGAAAACATTCTATTAGGCTGAAGGCCTGATGTGTAGGATTCATTATCATTCTGTGTTTTCAGTTGGTTTGATGAGACAATTCTTTTTCTTCTATAACTTCGTATCTCTCGGCAAATTCATCTTTATGGTTGTGAAGGTGGGGTAATTCTTCT